CGACAGCAGAACGTGCATTCCCATCACAAAAACCGTATACAAAATGCATATCAGCTACGTGAGAAGGCGGTAAATCACGCAATCGTAGCATTACGATGCTTGAAACGCACAGGAATGGTCCTCGAAAAGATAAATAGCGCACAAATTAAAAAACACGTAACGTCCCGGGATCGGTAATCGAGCGACTGAATGATGCACAAACAACCAACCGAGAAGAGTGCGCACGTGCGTTATCTAGCGGTCTCTAAGAACCGGTTTCTACCTGGATGACCTTTTTTTTGCTTGATATGGAGCAAATTTTTGACACGCTGTTATTAAAAAATTTTAAGAGATAGATATTGATAGTGTATTGTAAATGTGTAGTAGTTATGCTCTAGATTATTAATAATGAGTAAAAAGCCCATGTTAAGGGGGCATTTTATGTACTTACACGTGTTTTTGTAAATAAATATCACTTTTTTGCTTAGAAAAAATGTCTTTGTCTACGTTTATTTTTATGATTCGCCTTATTTTAACTAAAAATGTTACGTAATCCAACAAAACAACTTATTAACCTGATGAAATAAGAAAACAGAATCGAAATCGTGCCCGTAGCATTGGAGCTAGAGCAAAAAGTGTGGAACAAGGTGACCAACATCATTCAAAAAATTAAAAATTCAATAACTTAAAAAGTATTTAAGATAGACCCCCCCCTTTTTAGGTTTTTTACCGATAATTTTTCATGTACATGCAGAATATCCCGGGCGGTCACTTGCCGATGGGCGACATTGTATTATATATATATATATATATATATATATATATATATATATATATATATATATATATATATATATATATATATAGTACCCGGGTGACCGAGCTTTGCGCGGTATTTTTCGCTCGGTTTTTTTTAAATTCGTGTGTTTTGGAAATTATATTTAGATACAAATTACATACTGATGAAATACGAATAATATTTTTTGATCTTAGCGACATAATAGAAAAAACTGAACTGGTTATTTGAATAAAAAATCATGGAGTGCAATTAGTTTAATTAAAATTTTCGTGTTTTTAAAAAATACTAAAAAAAGGGCTCGAAAAAATACATTTTCTCAAAAAAGAAAGGAACTTGATATAAAAAAATTAAAAAAAGTCGGTCGGTCGGTCTGGGCTCGAACCATGGTATTACGATTTTGTGACCACCCAATATAATTAAGCTATTTGTAATGACTAATAAACTGTCAAAATTTACCTTCATATTCTAAAGATATTGTAGCAGTTTTTCATTGCCTAAAAACACGGACAAAAAGACATTTTCTAAAAATAAATCCTAGCTAGATCGATTTATGGCCCCCCGAAACTCCCTGCACACAAAATTTTATGAAAATCGTTGGAGCCGTTTCCGAGATTCCGATTATATATATATAAAGAAGCCGTATAGGATCATATAAAAAAAGTAATATATATAAGGTTTGTATTGCAACCCAGCCAAATCATTTTTTTTCAATCGATTTGGCACATACTATAGTCATCAGTCACAGCGACAACATAAGTGTAATCAAGCTTACCGTTAATGACTGTTATTTGCCTAGGTCTAATAGATATAAGACATCGTTTTTTAAGGGAACATGTTAATAATTTAAAGTTAAAATTTCTCAATGTTAAGAGTGAAGAAAATATATCTGATATATTAACAAAAGGCACTAGTGTAGATAAGCATTAGTATTGTATGTCAAATATGGATTGCGTTCTGGGATGGGTGATAGAATTGGAACGCAACCTGATTAGTTCCTTTTATTATCATCTCTCTATTGGAGCCACTATATTTGTAGTTAGTTTGTGCTATTTTAAGACATTATTTTCTCTATGCAGTATGCATTGCGTTGCAAATAAAACTATTAAAATTACTGTTATATTCTTTTATTTACTCAAAATCCTACAAGCAACAATAGCGGGAACATTTTTCTAACGTACAAAAACAAGATTCCTTTGCATTGATCTATTTGTACTAAGAGCAATACAGCTTCAAAAGTAGTAATACTAGAAAACAGACTGATTAAACCTGCAACTCCTAGCAATACTAAAGAAGCAAATAAAGAGCTAAGTCTATGAGTCGGACTCATAGAATAAGAACAAAGAACAAGAAACAAAAATAGATATTAAACAGTTCTCACAGAAGGCTGTAAACTTAGATACATATAAACGAATCAACCGAGAAAACGAAGAAACACAAAATGTTAATTGTTTTTTACAAATACTTTGGTTATAACCAATCGTACGCTCCGTACTGTTAATCATACGACTGATAAACTTGGAATTTTAAAAACTGAATGTAGAGGAACGCTCGGTAATTATAAATCAGATGAAGAATTAATTTGATATAAAAGAATTTATCAATTCTATTCCAAGAACTGATACGACCCGTGAATATACATAGACGGTGGAAAGCGGATAGGAGATCTCTTTAAAGACTTTGAAGAAGTCGGAAAAAATAAACCAGCAGAAAAGTATTGCACATTTCATAAGGTTTTTACTACACAATATTTGCAATACCAGAATTCATCACCTAAACAAAAACTTGTTATTCAAGAAAGACATGACATCCATTTAGAAGAAAAACCGCTTAGCCGACAGGAAAAATATGATCATCGACGTAAAATCGATGACAATAATAATTTTGTTTGACCTCCAAGCTGTTCTTCAATCACCTAAAGGAGAAATCTCAGCTTTCTATTACAAAAGTAAGCTCAGTAGCTATAATTTAATTGTTGCCTCCTTAAACAAAAAAGTAGAAGGCAAACTTCAGAAATCATACAGCAACGTGCATTACTATTTCTGGAATGAAACCAATGCAAAAATACCTAATTGGTTAAAGCACAGAAGGCTACAGATGATACGTTGTCACTTTATTTTTATGTTATGTAAATAAAATTTAACTTTTTCACAATTTTCATCAATTATTACGAAAAAAAATAATAAAAATAACCGTGCGACATTTATTGTTATTAATTTCACGAATTTTCGTTGTTTGTATTTTTAATAATATAAACATTACTAACTTACATAGATTTTGACCGAATTACTGTTTAAATAACAGAACTATTGAACTTTTTTGGAGATATTTACTGACCAATTCTCATTGCACACAAATATATACAAATGAACGCTTTAAGTAAAAAAATAATTTAAATATCAAAGTTTTCCTTTAATCAAATTTCTTTCATTAACTTAAGAAAAGTTTATTCATGAATTTTAAGTCACTTGACAGAGCTACGTGTTGAATCGACTCAAACCTAAACTATTCGGATATTCTCAAAATCCTTTGCAGACTTTATTAAGTTTTTTTAAGACTTTGTTAAGAGTACCACACAATCACTACGAAGAAATTAAGATGGTTGCTCAGCACATTATACTCGTTCTATACGGGATTATTTGAATGCAAAGTATCCTAAAAGATGCATCATTCTCTGAACCGAATCCACTTTGATTTCTTTTACTGGGGCTACATAAGAATGACTGATTTAAAACCGATACAAAAACTAAAACACTAATGCCCAAATCCTCAAACGCCGTTCAATTTTAAGATAGCGTTAAGTCTCGTTCTGTCTCTATCACTTTCAAGATAAAGTGACTGTGACATCTACAACTTAAAAAATCGAGATTTAACGACATCTTAAAGTTAAGTAACGTTTGAGTATTTGGCCATAACACCAAAAAATTTTTAAAACAACAGCAGATAAAAATTCAAGGAGGTTTGTTGTTTCGTCCCACTGATGAAAAGATATTTTCTGAGGCAAAACAGAGCTTGTATTTGTGGAGAAGGCCAACAATTTGAGCATTTGCTTTAGTTTAAAATAAAATATTAGTAATAATTTTATTACAATAATTTCTCTCATTTAATTTTGATTAAGTGTTACTATTTAATTATAATAGACAACTAATGATTAATTAGATTTTTTAAAGTTTCTTTTGCAAAAAAAACTAATATGTTTATGAAAAGAAAAGTTGCAAGTTATGTATTTTGAAATTTTGTCTAAAAGTTAGCTGACATAATTTTTCTAAACATTCATTTTTTTCCACCAAACTAACAGTGTTTATTTTTTTAACTATGACTGCGATTAATAGCATGGTTATTTTTAACTGTGACTGCGAATAATAGCATGGTTATTATGGATTACATTATTAAAAAGAAAATCAAAATTAGGAAATAGGGAATATGTGCCACAACATCGAAAGATGTGATCTAGGGGTTCTAGGGTGTTTATTTTTAAAAATATCCCTAAAATAGCTTATATCTGAAGCGGATATTTTCTTATTATTTACCCACTTGATTTTGAGTTTTGGCATAAAACACACTGTATCGAAGAACAAAAGCCCCGACTCAAATTATGTCAACATTTTAGTTTTTTTTAAAGTTGATTTTTAGTTTTACTTCTTGTAAAAAATATAATTTTTTACCCTTTTGGGTGCATTAAGCAACATCACAACTAAAACGTCGTTCAAATAAACACAATATAAATTTAATCCATTCTACCATCTTAGGGGTAGAATTTTATATATTATAGTATTATTATTTTTAAAAGTTATTAATTATTATACAAAAGAAGGCCAAACTGTTTCCATTCTGAGGATTAAATAACACAAATTTATTAACACTAACATATAGTACATTAGTAAGTTTAATTTATAGCAATTATAATTATATTTTAGAAGAAGGTTACTTGATTTTTGCTTTCATAAAACTTAAATGTCAGTTACTTACAAAAAACAAAATTAAAAAATCCACATTTCAACTAGATTCGTTTCTAGAATAAGATAGGATAAAATAGCTTTTTAACGATATTAACTTAATAACAATATCTTTTGTTACACTTGGTATAATAATCCTAAACTTCTTTTTACACTTATTAAAAAATAACCTATACCAAAATTGGATGAAAATGAAAATGCTCATCATCATTTACATCAGACCGATTCTGATAATATTATTGCTACCGCATAGTCTAATGCGCTACTCACTATATAGGTAGACCTTGTACATCCATGAGGTCCTCCTGCAGCGCTTGCGTGGTGGATGAGGGCGGCACGGCGAAAGCGCTGTGGTGTTGCGGCCGTGGCCTCCTCGGGGAACGCGCCGTGATCACTCGTGGCTTGTGGATCTCGTCCATTACTGAAGGTGCCACGTAAGTGAAGCCCTAAGTAAATAATAATATTTTTCCTGAATTATTGATTATAACAAAAAGAACCCGGATCACTAACTCTGCTCAAAATATTTTGATATGTAGATGAATGTGTTTTGAGTCCACACGATGGCATTAACCATTGCTATTAAATTATGACCAAGGTTGGAAGTTCTATATTACCCCAAGAGATCAAGATGTAATGTCCCAATTCATGTATTAACAGTGAATGATGGTGCGTTGGCTTAGCAGAATGGGTATACAATCATTTCTACACAAAAAGAAAGCTAATTCTCATACGGATTGTAAGGGTTAAAACATCTGTAATGAAAAAATCCTTTCAAAATTAACTCTTTTCTTTAGTCGTCCGTTTAACAATAACCCAATTTAATACCAAAAATTTATGGTGCGAGTGAATGGCAGAGTAAAGGGATCTACACCAAATGTGGGCCATAATACTACAGCCCTACCCCTCTAAAGTATTAATCTTAATTAACTAAATATCAATTTTTACTTCACATAAAAATCGAGCTCATAGAATTACGGTTTTCGCCATTTACATCCACTCGATAAATCCATTTTAATATACATTCTTTTATAGAACGAGGGTGGACGAAAACGAGCACACAGTCCACCAGTTGGTAAGTGGTTGCTGTAGCCCATAGACATCTACATCTATCTTCGTACCATTTAATACGTACAATTTAAGTTATATGTAAACATTGAAGTAACATGTACTTGCGTACTAGAACAGCGATTGACAAAAAATGTGCGCTACTCTGTGTTCGCACAGTTGATTTTTCAGAATAGAATAAACATAGGAACACTGATCTGTAGGTAATAATAGATTGTATTGTTAAATAGGTAAAATATATCGAGTACAATTTTTAAATTTTGAATATTATATTTGCTTATTTAATATAATATCACATAATATTATATCACATTTACATTATTTTATTTATTATCTGAATATTTTAAATAATTATGTAAACTTATTAAATAACAGTACTAAATGTATGTTTAACAAAACTTATTAATATAACATTTAAATAACAAATATATTTTTATTATTAAATGCTGGACACGCGAGAGTTAAAAATGGACGAATTTATTCTATAATGTTAGTGGAAACCTAAAAATAAAATAAAAGAATAATGAGCAGATTTAAATACAAAAAACCAACTAATACTCAAAAAATGTGCATAATAATATATTTCCTATACAATACCACAGAAACAAATTTCATACATACACAATTGTCCAGGAACATTTTTTATTATTAATCTATAATACTTTATTATTAATTATATTATTAACCGATAAAAAGTTATTCCTTGGTATTTGTTAACATTACTTGAATTATTTGTGCAATATCTAAAAACAAACCAAGGCACATTTTATCGAGGTTTTTTTTTTAAATATAATTAATCCACACATGTCAACTCACTAGCGCCTAGCGAGTAACTGAGTAAAGTGCGGTGCTAACGCCGCAATTGAATGGTACAGCGTAACTAAATGCAGTATCGCCTATAGTACGTAGTACATAATAGCTCAACGTATGAAAGAACTTAAACAACAAAACAATAAAATTTGTGGTATTAAAATAAGTTAACTTTACCAGGGACAGAGAATCATAATCATCGTTGGGAGTTAACTGCTTCAACAGTTTTAGTCATTCCAGGGCAATGTCCTGCTACATTTTATTTAGTTATATAGATTTTATCTGCATCATCATCCTTACAGCCCTTCAAAAGTCCACTGAGCCACCTGCATCCATGGACATCCTGCATGTCTTAGCAAGTCGTCACTCCATCTAGTTGAGGGTCGCCCTAAGCTTCGTCTACCGGTACGAGTCTGCCACTCGAGAATCCTTTTTTCCCATCGGTTGCTGGTTCTTCGAACTATAAGGCCCATTTCCACTTCAGCTTACTAATCCGTTGGGCTATGTCGGTCACTCTGGTTCTACTGCGGATATTCTCATTTCTAAGTTTATCACGCAGAGAAACCCTAAGCATAGTCCTCTCAATAGCTTGCTGAGCGAATTTGAGCGTCCTCATATAGCCAGCAGTAAAGGACCACGTCTCAGATCCATAAGTCATCACTGGCAACACGCACTGGTTGTACAACTTACTTTTCAGGTTTTGAGGTATTCCTGACGAGAAGATGTGTCGTAATTTCCCAAACGCTGCCCAGCCGAGTTGAACCCGTCGATTGAGCTCTCGGTCGAAGTTGGACTTACCTAGTCGGACTATTTCTCCCAGGGAAACGTACTCGTCAACAACCTCGATCTTAGTGCTCCCAATAATTACCGGCATATAGACATGGACATTGCACATGATCTTTGTTTTGTACACGTTCACTTTAAGACCTATCCTTTAGGAGAACTATTGAGATCATTGAGTATAGTGCTTAGGTCCTCCAGCGATTCTGCCATAAGGATTATATTGTCGACAAATCGAAGGCGAGTGATGTACTCACCATTTATCTTAATACCGTATCCTTTCCAGTTCAGTAGCTTGAAAACGTCTTCCAATGCAGCGGTGAAGAGTTTCGCGCATATAATGTCACCCTATCTTACACCTATCTGCAGTTGGATAGGTTTCGTAATCTGGTTCTGTACTCGGATAGCCATCGTAGCCTACACTAGCTCTGTACAAACACTTCAGTACTTCGATATACCGACAGTCAACTTAGCACCGCTGAAGGGACTGTAGCACCGCCCAAATTTCGACGGAATCAAAGGCTTTCTCATAGTCCACAGACGCCAGGCAAAGTGGCAGATTGTACTCTTCGGTCTTCTGTACAATCTGCCGCAGGGTATGCATGTGGTCTATGGTACTATAAAGCCTTTTCGGAAACCGACTTGTTCGGGAGGATGGAAGTTGTCTAGTCTGCGTGTGAGACGATTCGTAATGACTCTCGAAAACAGCACATAGAAGCGGCTCAGAAGGGAAATTATTCTGTAGTTTTTCAAGATAGCGTTGTCGCCTTTCTTGAAGGACAAGACCACCGCACTTCTGCTCCACGTCTCCAGAGTAGTTCCACCATGAAGGACGGAATTAAAGAGCTTTTGAAGGACTTTAAGTACCGGTTTTCCACCCGCTTTCAGGTTCTCCGCTGTAATTCCTCCTCGCCTGGGGCCTTGCCGTTTTTAAAGTGCCGGAGAGCCATTCTAACCTCGCTTAGACTGAAACCCGGGATATCATCGGAACAGTGTGTTGCTCTTGGATCGTTACTCACACTTGCGTGTAACTCCAACTATTGCCCATAGAACCTCTCAATCTCACTCAAAATCTCATGTGTTCTGGAAACGATGTTGCCACACTCGGTTTTCAGCTTTGCCATTTGGTTCTTTCTGATAGACAGATCTCTGGCAAAGACTTTGGGCCCTGGTTCCACTAGCTCGTTTCTTCAATACGAGCAGTATTAAAGTTGCGAAGTCCCGCCGCATGCATTTGGAGATCTGTTTGTTCAGTTGCCTGTATGCTGTCAAATCTGATGAAGACTGCAGTTTCATTTCTCGTCCAACAGCCATGAGATTAGCAGTGTGATCGGAGAGTATTTGTGTTCTTCTACGGCGGGTCTTGCAAAACTTTGCTCCGAACGCATGGACAGTTTCCACGATCATTCATATCGTCCACTGCATTGCAGTCTTATAGGCACTGAAAACGGTTTTGTAACTCGAGCTGAAAGGTTTCGGGACTTTAAATTAGAGCACGAGGGAGACGGAGCGTTGACTTCATTAGACAAGACATCTCCAACTTAACGTTTAAGTTCAGTGTGCCTCTAACCATTCGGTGTTCGCTGCCACTGAGACATCACTGAACAGTTATCTAGTCGTCATAATGAAGTCAATCTCATTTTTTGTCGAACCCCAATGAAAAGGCCGAGTATATTTAAATCTGATCAACAAAAAGTCGCAAAATTAGATCAAGGTGTTTAATGCAGCACTCTGGATACACTTCATAGATCATCCAAGAAGCATTGATCGTCTGCTGCATTATAAATAATCTATAAGTGTATTCAGATAGCTGAATTATAGATCATTTGAGGAGTGACGGAACAAAACATGATAATTCGACTTTTTGTAAAAAAAAAGTTAAATGACATTCTACAGAATACCATAAATTACGTTACCCGTTAGGCTGGTGTGGTTCAAATTGTGCTTATTCCTGTAGTAAATAGCCTCTCAAGTTAAAAGTTTGAAGCAAATCATGACATTTCCATGTTTAAAAATATAAATAAACAAAATCGGAACAAAACATGATACATTTCATACATTACGAAAGTTGGTACAAAATAGGATATTTCCATGTAAAAATAACTTATGGACTTTTGAACGCTTTATTCGCTTAAATCTTAGGGTGCTGAAGCCGTAAAAAAGTACATTATTTGTCTATGAACAAAATTGTCAACATCCAAAAAAGTTCACCAAGACGTGTATTTACGTAGTCTTATTAGTGCATTTGAACCCCAACGTAGAGGCAAAGGCACACCACGTCCTCCTGGTAAAACGAAAATTCGAAAGTTAAGTACTTCATTCTAAGAAAAAGAAAGTAATGAAAAGGGTATTATCAAATGTGTTGGATGGCAAAGTTCCAAAGGAAGAAAGAGGAGGTCCGAGCGTCCTTTATACATTTTATGAAGTGTTTCTAGAGAGCTGTATTAAAAGCTTTGAAACAATTTTGCGACTTTCTTCTGGTCTGCAAATTTTTTTTCTTTAAAAAAATTGTGTGTGACCATCATAATTATAATTCATTCGTTTACTTATTTCATCGGCTAGTTTTTATACCCAGCTTGGTATTGAATTGGGACAGCCTGTTTATAAAATGGATACTTAACTTAGGAAGAGTTATTAACTAAGCCAATGTAAATAAGTATAATTAGCATAATTGTTTTATGTTCATGGTATTCAAAATTATCGTACAGTGTATGCCGCATTACACTTGCAACACATAGTTTAGCAGATTGTGATAAACTTACAAAAAAGGGCTGTACTGCAAGAGTGACAGTACCCTATCCACTTTATGTTATAATGTCTTAAATTTAAATTTAAGTTAAAATATCTATAAAGGCTATTTATTGTCTTTTATACATAATGTGTGGTAAAAAAAAGTATATATCTAGTGGTTCACATGTACAAGCTCAAAAAAAATGTCCTTAACACTAGAGGGCACGCGTGGGCTACATTTGTAAAACCCAAAGTATAAAACGATCGTTTTTTTTTAATATCTTTTAATGTTTTTTTTTTAATTATGAAACCAAATTTTGTTGATTTTTTGTGTCAATATAAAAAATAAAGATGTTTAGTAACTATATATTGTGTTTTATTGTTTCTTTTTGGCCTAATTCGGTAAATACATTATTTGCAAGTGGGCTACGCTTGTAGCCCGCACGTGCATTCTAGGAGTAATTATGAGCGTGTGTACTCTAAGTGTTAAGTTCACTTAAACTTAAAGATGCCTCATTAACTTTAATAAAAAATAAACTACCTGAAACATAAGATTGGCACTTTCGCTAAGAGTTGATTCGTCAGGTGAATCTATAGGTGTTTGTAAAGTAAACCTTGTATCAAATTGTGATACATCATCTTCACTTGACTGAAAATAAAAAGATAAATATTTATTATCTTGCAACAGTATCATAATATTATTAATAAATATAAATATTTTTTGCTTGATATTTTTCACCCCAGTTAAGTATAACTTAATGTAGATTAATTATATACACTGGCTTCTCATTATTAATTATTTAACAATAATAATAATAATAAATAACTGCAGCTTGTGTAAGTGCAACATTGTATTTATACAGTCATCAGGTCAGTCATACTACAGAATAATTGAGGGAGCCTATGTTCGAAGTTTTTAAAAGTTGGTTGTAAATAAAAATTATGGTAAGGTCTATATTATTTTTCATAATACATTTCGTGTATAAAATTTCCCCATCTGGGTCCCAGTTCCCGTTACTCCACAAAAGAACATACAGAGAAGCTTAAAGGTGATAGATACCACACAGTTCAATTTGGCCTTTTATTTTTGATAAAGCATGCCTAATGAAATAAGAAATAGTTTCTTGTTTATTGGTACTGCACTTCGGCATGCATGAGATGAACAAAATGTTACATATAAGTTATCAATATTTTCATCTAGTTGTATTGTGAGGATTCATAAATAAAAAGGTCTGGTTGTAAATAATTGATAGTAATAGGTTTAAGAACCTACACAAACTGTTGATCAGCATACTATTTACTATGTGAATGGTCCTTGGTTCAAATCACAACATGTGAGTTAAAATTTTGTGGTTTAAGATTTTTTTTAATAAAGGTTGGCAAACAAGCATACAATACACCTGATGGTAAGTGGATGTTGTGCCTCAACGGCATCTATTTCTTTACGAATCAAAATACCATCCATATCCTGAAAACTAGGTTGGATGTTACCAGCTACTAATGAGGCATTGGCAGGCTTAAATAAGTGAGTACCACGTGTTTAGGTGTATACAAAAAAGGACTTATAGTGCTAGGTATAAAAACAACAGATAAACATTTAGATATTCCTCTTTCAACTGTACGGAATAAAAAAGTAAAGAAGCCTACAAACGCTCCTCAGCTGGGCACAGCCCTGTACCCATTTCTGAGCACTTTAACACTCCGTTACCCGCACGGTGCACAAGACTGCCCCAGGTATACATTTTCGCTTATTATTACTTAGTTATTTGATGCACAATCTTATGTCTGACCTTGAATAGCTGTTACTAGTATTCTTGTGTATGCGTTAACGTCGTGTCAACAGCGTCAGTGCAAGGACGTTTGTTGAATTATTGTTTTAGTACTCTCGGGGCACCTTTGTGCGTGGAATAACGTAACTATTTGAAGTACGACAGTGGCAATAAATTTTGGTTATTTTCTTACAATTTTTGAATAATTTGTTTCACAAAAATATCTAGATCAATATAATGTATGTAATGATCTTGAAACGGCACGTAATGATGAGTAAAATGTCGAATTAAAGTTCAGATGATGATTTTTCAAATAGTTTTTAAAGTATGCCATATTCTTTGTTTTATTTAGTAAAAATGTATAAGTATTTTTGTTTACTTTAAAAGCGCCAATAAATACTTATTACTTATTAATTAATTTTATTTCATTATTGTCATCCGATAGGGCGGAAAACTAAAATTTCTTTAGGGCACTTTTGTGCAGCACGCGTGTTATCGTGTAACGATTAAAGATGCGTGTAACGGAGTGTTAAAGCCGGAATTAATCCAAAATACAATAAATCAAGCTCAGTGGGATCGAACATGGTTTGCTCACAATGATTTGCTTTAATGACCTATCAAGGCAAATAACACTGATTCTGTTTTATTAACTTGTTTTAAAATATAATCTTGTCAAGTTGTTATTATTTTAAATATAAATAAAAAGTTACTAGTATTGGTTTCATCGGAGGTTCCAGTCTTCTATTAAATACATCATCCCAATGTACGTGTTTGAAGAAGGCGTGCCCACGCACCGCTGCGGCACCCGTGGCACCTAAGCGTTGGGTCTCAGAACGCTTCATAAGACGTCTTATCAAATCGCGTGCATCTTGTGTGAGGTAAGCAGGTAACATAAGTTTCCCTTTCAATATTTTCTCTATTGTTTTAGTGCGATTATCGCCGGTAAACGGTGGCTAAAAAGAGAAAGACTATATTAAACATGGCAATAATTTATTGTTTATAGCTTTTCTATAAAATCAAAATTATAAGTAAACAACCGCTTTCCAACTATCCATAATATTCTTTAAATAATAATAGCCCTTACATAATTTTTCATATAGAGTATGATGGAGACCTAAAGGTGTGCAAAAAAAAGTTAAAGTTACAGCCTATATATGTCCCATTCCTAGGCAAAGGCCTCCGCTCATTTCTGAGATGATTTTAGGGCAAGGAATAGTCCGCCGCGCGGCCCCAATGCGTGTTGGCGAACTTAACATGTCTTCGAAATTTGTTGCTCGCGTACTGTGAAATTTACAGTGAACGCTAACAATCTGAGCTACCACGGCTCTTAAAGTATAAACAGGTGCAGAACCAACAAAAAATAAAAATAAAGAATAATTTGTCATTATTAAAGTTCATATTTGCATGTAACATGTACATTTGTATTTTTGTGCAAGCGATAGCGGAGCATATTCGATAGAATGTAATCAGCTGAGTTCGGCTGCCGTTCTGTAAGAATAGTTAATGTTTGGGTACCGCCTTATCTGCTCGGAGCTTCTCGTTCCATAATATTGTTCCACTTGATGGTAAGTGGTGATGTTAATGTGATGTAGGCGGAAATAGTAAATCACACTGAGTTAGCTCAACTCTTTCAATGCCCTTGCCTACTGCAGCACGCTTTAATAAAACTGAAGTGATAAACGAACTTAGTCCTCCTGGTGGTAAGTGGCTACTGCAGTCCATATACATACAGCCAACTTCAAAGGAACAAGGCTATAGATGTTTTGTGTCACAGCCTATAATCATACGGCTCTCCATACCCTTCAAGACCATATACCTACTCTACCAGGATTTTTACTTTATTGTTTTCGTTCCGTAGTCATATTTTACATACACAAATTCCAGTCTTGAAAAGTTGATTGTAATCCATACAAACAATTGATACCTACATGCATGTTTTGAACTCCCAGTCTCAAAGCAACGAGTCACTGACAAGCAATCTGATTAATGGCTAAATTTCATTTTTTTTATTCTTTCTTTTGTGTTAAAAACGTTACCCCCACACTAGGATTTTCTCCTGTGTCGTGAAAGCAGTTTACAAACATAAATTGCACAAGGACAAACATCCAGACCCGGAACAATTATTTGTAGGCCATACAAATACATTTTCCGTGCGGGATTCGAATCCGCGGCCCCCAGCGCAGCCACTCATTGCTAAGCCACTACACCACGGAGCTGTCAAAGCCGTCATTATCTCTGTTAATCTCACAAGTGACTTGGCAAATCTAAATATTTGTAGTAATATAATAAGTAAGAGTAGTAACTAGATAATGTACACTAAATGCCACATAAACATAATATAAAAAGTCTAAAGTAAAGGGCATACCTGACCAATCAACATATCATACATTAAGGCGCCTAAGCTCCACCAATCTACTGCTTTCCCATGTCCACTCCTTGTTAAAATTTCTGGTGCCCTAAAATTTTTTATTTTATTTACAGTGCCTGTTAGATATTAATCATGTCAATATCAATAACATGAATAACTTACATATATTCAATTGTACCACAAAATGTATGTGTGACAATGCCCTCTTGAATATGTTCTTTACATAATCCAAAATCAGTTAGTTTAACATGACCCTGAGCATCCAATAAAACATTTTCTGGTTTGAGGTCTCGATAAATTATACCTAAACTATGTAAATGTTCCAATGCCAGAATTATTTCTGACAAATAAAAGCTAAAAAATATATAGTATAATTATTACTTTTGATTATATCCTTAGTCATGAAAATTATAAGATAGAAAAGTACATAGAAAACAATGTTTACTAATAAAAATTTTGAAATGAGCATGGTCATGAAAATGTTAAAATCTTGTTAGTCTATTATACATAAATAATTGGTTCTAAGAATGCAAGTTAAACCCTAAATTAGCATTATCTATTTATTATACACAAATAAAAAACATTGTAGGTAGTGTCTGCCTGTAATTAGAAAATTTTAATTTTCTGGTTTTTCTCTTTATGTTTGATTTACAATAAAAATTATAGTTTAAAACATTTTATATTTATAAAATTAAATACTAAAAAAATGTGCCATTTTTGGTAAGTAATCTTTTTTTTATTTGAATTCATGTAGACAAATTCACTAGCACAGCTATTAATTTTATAATTTTAATGAAAATAATTTTTACTCTAGGTGGTTAGATAAGGAATATTCCTCGGCATTAAGAAGCATGAGCATTTAAGCATTTAACATTTTTATCTTCTCTATAATACTGTTGTGGAAATAATTCAAGTAATATATAGTCACTTTCATATGTTCCATCTCGCTTGCACTTACATACTCCTATGTGTTATAACAACAAAAGCTCAGAAGCATCGTATATATCGTAATTTTGAATGTGTTTTGTTTAATACGAAAATTGAATAAAAAATGAACTGCTTTCAACTTTTCTATGGACATTAGGTCTGAAATTGGCCAAACCAGCGTGAAAACGAATTATTTTTCTTAATATTAATCGAATAGACGAATCATTTAAAAAAAAACTAATTAAGCAATTTGCACAAAATCTTCCCTTTGCCAGAAAAAAAATTATATCACAAAAAGTTGAAATAAAGGTACAAAGTACATTTGCACGTACACATTTGCACAAGTACATGAATTGTGCCAACTTTTGAATACAGTTGCCAGGTCCATGTTGGTACATTTTTTTTACAGTATGAAGGGTCCAACTTGCTCGATAAAACTAAAATGTTACATTTTTACACTTTTACGAATTTTTAGGTATTTATTTCTACCAAACCATAATAGGTATTGAAAATAAAATGGTAGGTATAGTAGGCATAGTATTAGGCTATACAAAACAGAAAAAAAATTAAAATCGGTCCCCATTTGCAGATACAGCATCAAAAATATTGACGCAAAGGGTGATTTTCTGGAAAATTTATAAATCAACCTTTATCTTTTAAACCACGCAATTTGGGTATAGGACTTAATTTTTTGAACAGTTTTTTCATGGTCTACAACCCCCTTTCGTTTGATCATTACATTCTGGGACAACCTGTATATACACTTTAGTATGTTGTTCTCTTATGGTGACACCATAATTGTGACATTTAAATGTAAAATACTCCATGACAGTATAGTAATACTTGCTATGCTTAATGACAATGAGAATTAAAACACTCTATGGGTCATCTACATTACCTAATCTACCTACTTCTACAGACCATCATTGCTGTGATAGAAATATACTAGAATTATGTACATTTAATCATACCAAATATACGAACTTATTATAAATGTTAATTAATTGGCAAACTTTGTATTTGTTTATTGTAATATTAAAAAAAAATAATAAGTAAGTATTAAGTATTATAGTTATTGAGATGGTACCCACCAAGCAGTATCTTCAAGGAAAATACCTTCTCTCTCCAAATGCATGAAAAGTTCTCCACCACTTAAATATTCTAAAATTAAATATAATTTGCCTCCAGTTTGAAAAGCATATACTAATTCAACTATGAATGGATGCTGAAAATAAAAATAACAATAGTGTGAAAAATAGATTTAAATTGTTTCATTAAGCAAAAGATGAATTCTTAATTATTATTACATTTATATCACAATATTGCACTTTGTTATTTTTGAATACAAATGTATAATGAATTTAAAATTACACAATAGCATTTTTTTTAATTTTGAGGACAGAGGCAACTTATCTTAAGTTGCCCCTGTGCTGCACCACCGCAACTTGCCCCATATTTGCCTATTCCCTAAAAATTCTATTTCATCTTGATTATCATAGATACAGTCCATCACAGCCCAGCCACTTTGAATCCATCCATTGACCTCTCAGCCGAAGTTGGACTTACCTAATCAGGCTATTTGTCCTAGGTAAACATATTTGTTAACAACTTCGAGAGTAGTGCTCTCAAAAACTACTGGCATGGTGTTTCATATGACCTTCGTCTTGCCCATGTTCATCTTAAGACCTATCTATTAGGAGATCTTTGAGCTCATTGAGCATAGCACTGAGATCCCTCAGTGATTCAGCCATAATGACTTGTGATACATAATAATCGTCGGCAAATGGAAAGCGAGCCATCTACTCACCATTGACGTTGATACCATATCTATTCTAGTTCAGTAGCTTGAAAATGTCTTCCATTGCCTACTATTACTGCATTAAGCAGTTTTGGTAATGTAATGTTACCCTGTCTTACACCTCTACTGATACACTACCTGCTCAGATACCCTACTGTACAAACACATCAAAACTTTGTCATACAGACAGTCAACATAGCACAGCTGAAGGGACTGCAGCACCAATAAATCTTCAATGGCATCAAAGGCTTTCTAATAGTTCACAAATCGTAAGACCTAGTGAAATACTAACTCTTAGGTCTTTAGTACAATTTTCTAGGACATGTATGCGGTTGGTACTAAAGCCTTTTCAGAATCAGATTTGTATTTGAGGCTAAAAGTTGTCAAGCTGTATGCTAGAAAATTCATACAGACTTTCTAAAACAGCACATAGAGGCAGCTTGAACTATCAAAATCTGTAGTAGACCAAGCTGTTAAGAGGTATTGGCAGACCATACAGTTTATGAGACTCTCAGAACAGGGACATGTAAACAAAACAACAGAAAACTGTGGTCGGAGATGACCAGTTCATTGTTTTGAGCATGCTTTGCACACATCATCAAGTAGTTGAGTTAATTTTACTTGCAATCACGATAATTGGAATGATGAAGCTTGGAGTAACATTCTATTTACAAAGTTCAGATTTTGCCCGACTACCACGAGAGAGGTACGCTCAGAGCAACATCATTGGAAATGAGGCATATGGAGGAGGGTCAGGTATGATATAGGGAGATTTTTGTATGGAGGTACATACAGAATTCTGCATTATTAAGAATAGGTCACTAACAGTGGCACGATAATATGCAACTGAGATTTTGGAAGAAATTGTAGTGCCATTTGCCCCTTTATAGGGGTGATAGATTTATTTTCATGCACGAGAATGCACGCCGCCATACTATGGTTGTAGTTGTAGAATACCTTTGAGACATTAAAATGAATGCTATGGGAAAGCTAGCATGCTTGCCCGTCTGAAACCCCATAGAGCATGTATGGTATAACTTAGAAGACAAATTAAGAAAGGAAATCCTGCCCCCACTAATTTGAGAGATACTAAAAATTACAGGAAGAATAAAATGCAATCTCTCAAGATTTTATTAAAAACTTAATTAGGAGTATGAAAAGAAGATGAAGCAGTTCAAAGAGCTAGCTAGAAGGGAGTAACAGTACTGATTATAGGCCATGTTATAACCTTTCCTAAGCATTTATAAAAAAAAT